CGATTTCACTGGACTGCATGGTAAATTTAAGTTTAAAGACATCCTCATTTGCAGACTCAGGGCTTACAGCATGATATTTAGCTGTCCCTGCATCAGACTCTACTGCCATTTAAGATGCTATAGTGTATCTCTCCTGGTTTCCAGCTGCTGCTGCAGAATAGTGCAGGTTTATCCTAAGTCCCCTGTTATCTATCAGCCCAGATGTCTCGGATGCCCTCGAACATCTACAGTGACACCTGTATTAGCCCAGCTGTCATCACACTAGAATGAGAATTCAGAACGACATGACTTGATGCAATAGAGGGAGAAAGCAATTTTTTGTTAACTCTTAGGAGTGTGATCTGCAAGCAGAAACTCATCTGCTGTACTTCCTCTTTCCTAAACTGCACTAACATCTTTAGAAAGATGGAGACCATCAAGAAACAAAATGCTACAAGCCATAAGTAAGGGAACCAACTAACATACAACTTACCTGCAGCACTATGTCCCGTCCATTCCGTGTGATGTTCACAGTATGGGGCTGTCCATTAGCCATGTTTCTGTGGTCAACATCAATGTTATATGGCTCTTTGGTGCCTCCCAGGTTGTACCGAATTTGCAGATTCCCTAGTGAAAGAAATATGAAAAGCACCCTCAGGTATATTGATCTTTATTCACTTGCTATCTGCCCCTCTTTATTTCCACATGCAACTGTTACCATTTTGCACTCAAACTGCTCTCAAGAGCTGGTCTCTGCAGAAGGAGAAAAGTTAGTGTTTGAGATTATAAAGCTACTGGGCTGAAAACTGCTTCTAGTTTGTAACCCTGAACTGTGACAATGACCAGCATCTCAAGACCAAATTGTTTGTAAACACTGGAGATTGCAAACCAAAAAACCGGAGTTATGTCTTGAACAATATGGATAATTGGTACAAAACTGAGCACATCAAGTGGCACTTTATTGTTGAGATTATTATGCTTGCTGCATTAAAACTCTTTCAAGTTACACAAAGCATAATGTTTCCTTAAGAATAAACCATGGGTATGCATCAAATAAAGGCAAAATTAAAACAAATTAACACTGACACATAATCTACACTTGTTCTTCTCTTCGTATTTAATTGTTGTTTACTGGTGACTGTGTGGACTTCCATGGAAATTTATAAATACATGGTGAAATGAAAAGCTCTGGTTATATTGTTAGAAAAGTATAGTCAAAAGTGGTAAACTGATATTCATGACATACTGCCAGATAGATTTTTCTTTACGAAACAAAGGTGAAGTGTCTTCTCATAAAATTTTCATATTTGATTAAAAGGAAGGCTGTTTGGAAAAGGAAATGCAGACCCCATTATTGATCAAAATCAGAAATATTCTGGTCCAAACAAGCAGACCTAGACGTTTATAAGTATAATCTAGATGTCTGAAGTGGGATTTCTCTCACTCACCTTCTTTCTTTCTGAGGAAGGGAAAGAAGTGAGTGGCATGTGGAATATGCATATTAATTTATCCCATAAAAGAGAATGGTAGTAATGTCTTCCTAATTATGCTTTTCTTGGGGCACTAAGGCACTATTTTGAATAAAAGAATATTCCATTTATATACAGTTTTAATACTGTAACAGTAAATGGTCTATATCCTTCACCCACCTATAACCTTCACCCACCATCAAAGTGTTTATGATTTTATATACTAAGCTGTATCATATGTTACAACCTGAAGGGGTGTCCAGATTTACAGAACAGTACATTACACTTTCCACTGACTACTGACAGTATTGTTGTGAGTTCAGCAATTGAGATGCCTACATGTGGCTGCCTACTTGTCCCTTCCATAATGCTAGTTCATGGCATGGATCTGACTGTTACAGCAGTGTTTTTGTTTAGTTTTTCCCCCCATTTTATTTTAAGAGGGAGGGTTGCCTGATGAAACCCCACTAAACCGAACAGTTACACCAGTCCAAAATCTAGTACGGCACAATACAAGTTCAGGTCCCATGTACCTTCCTCTTACATGCCAAGGGTGAAGAGACTTTCTCATTAGTCCAGAGTTCTGCTGAACATCAACCTGATGTTATTATCAATTGTGTCTCCAGTGGAGAAAGATCAGAGCAGTTGCTTACCAGATGGCTTGACAAGCACAGCCATGAAGTCCTGGGTGTAGGAGCTGATGTACAATAAGACGCAAGGGGACTTGGTGGTACTGAAGCTGAAGCTGAGCTCTTCTTTATTCAAGTTGAGGTCAGGTGCTGTGATCTCAGGATCTGTTGAACTCAAAAGTGTTCGGCTAACTAAATCTTTCATGCTAGTCCCTGGGGAGTGGAAGTTGTAACGAAGCCACATTCCCTCTTCAAAAAATGCTCCAACATCTTGAACATAAGAGAGGGAAAAAACCAAAACAAAACATATTACTGTTGACTTGGTCAGTACTAATCTGTGCATGTTTGTACTGCAACATTTAATTATTGTTGACAATATTTAGGTCAAAAGACTCACTATTTTCCAATGAGAATGAAAAGGACAGTCTCCATTTTATTGGTGGGTACCTCGATTCACAAAGCAAAGATTTCCTCTGGGTCAAGCAAGAGATCTATGAATGTATCTCATATCAGTACTACAGACTGGAAAAACAATCCTTTAGATTTATTCTCATTGAAGTCTTGCAGTAGACAATTCTCCAAAGGATATACAACAAAGATAGATTGAAAGCACACAGTATGCAAATACTGTCAAGGAAAAGGGAAACCAGCAATTTTGAGCAGCAAATTTGAGTGGATTTGGAAGGACCTCATAAAGGCATGATGGTAATTCCAGCACCTGAAAAGTCTGAAATAGAATCCGTGCTAGAAAGTTATCCACTGCTAGCACAATCCTTCATGAGAAATGCTTATCTAGGATGCTCTTACAGGAGATAAAATTAACTGTGAAGCTTAAATCAGTGGGGAAGGACACAAGAGATACCTGAACTGTAGCTCCCAGGAGACACTACCCAGACCAAGTTTTCAAACTGAATTGAGACAAAACGTCATGTTTCAACTCTCCTGACAGAAAATAAAATTACTTTTGGCAGAATTAATACATTCAACTGAAAAAGCATTGCTATTACTTCTCATGGTGATGCAGTCCTGCCCATCTCTTAACATTAAAACCGTAATTCAAGGCTGACATTCTTCCAGCAAAGGCTGACTTTGACAACTTCCCAGGGGACTCATGGCACAGTTGCCTACCATTGGTAGTGTATAACCTACCAAATCTATTGGGGATTGCTAGACTGGCTTCCTCTGGCAGTCATTTATTTAGCGACGTTGTGGTCCTGGAGAGCCATTGCTGTTTGGGACAACATATTAAAAGGACATTTTTAAAATACATGGGAACTTAATTAAGTGGTGGACTGTTCAGTGGATAAGGAACTGGCTGGCTGGTCATGTCCAGAGGGTGATGGTCGATGGCTCAATGTCCAGATGGAAAATAGTGACAAGTCGTGTCCCTCAGGGGTCCATACTGTCACCAGTGTTGTTTAATGTCTTCCTTAATGATATTGACAGTGGCATTGAGAGCACCCTCAGCAAGTTTGCTGATGACACCAAGCTGGGTGGTGCAGATGATATGCCAGAGGGACAGGATTCCAACCAGAGGGACCTGGACAAGCTAGAGAAGTGGGCCCAGCGGAACCTCATGAGGTTCAATGAGGCCAAGTGCAATGTCCTGCACCTGGGCCAAAAGACAAGAAGACAGGTAAAATTATAATAGACTTTACTGATGTAAAACATTCTCCAGAATGTAGCTAAATCTAGTGCTGGAAAAGCTCTGTGTTCTCCTGTTACCATATAAAAATTCTCCAAAACTCAAAATATCATACTCACTATCACTGTGTGGCCATATAAAACATGGAATAAAGTTGTGGTCCAGAGATGCTAGAAATAATTTGACCATGCTGATAGATTTATAACTGTCATTTTACAGGAGAAATCTTAAATCACCCTGAAACAGTTATGGGACAGGCAATTCAATTTAACAACCACATTTTACAGTGGTCTCAAGTACTCCTGGATTAAAAGTGAAGGACCCTACCTATCCTGGAGATGTTTTCCCAAATTGCTATGCCTTCTGCCATTTACCACAGTGTTGAAAAGCAGCATTAGCAATTACAAATCAAAAGCAGTACATACTGTAGCTCAAAGTATTGGCATGCCTTTTATTTTAGGAGTTATCTTCGGACTGCCTGCTGCTATGCTTGCCCAGGGCCTCACACCTGTGAATAATGGGGCTTTCAGTCCCAACTTCAGCACTGCCCAAGGGCTGAACTGGAATGCATGTGATGCATTTTTCCAGAGCTGTAAAGGTTATGAATTACTACTTTAGATGATCACTGCTACAATGAAAGCTTTAAGTACATGGTGCTCTCTGAAGGGGTAAGCCTTTTTTTTTTTTTTCCAAATGGGTTTCATGACAGAGCACAGAATGTTCTGTACATTTAAGCTGATTTGTGCTGAGAAAGCAATTTTCAGTATAGCTTCCTTTTACAGGTGCACAAGCTATTGTAATGAGCCTTGAAATTCTCCTCACATGCACACCACCTCTTTCAAGAGAATGGATAAGAGGAAGGTTCACTTTGGTTGTCTGACTGTATTGGGCCCTCAACAGGAAGATATTGAACCCCTTCAAGTTCCAGCTCAGCAAAGAGGCTGATGCACATGACTATGCTCTTTATTGAATGAAGCTGAAGTCCTTGCAGCAGGGCTGCAAAGTGCTCAGCAATTCACAGCAACAGGCTGTTCAAACTACTAGGAAATACTGGAAAAAGCTAAAAGATAATTTCCTCTACATTGAGCACAGCTATCAGATGACTTGGAAATGCTGAGGGCTGATCAATTAAAAAAATATCTACTTGGAGGTCACAAGCATATATCATCTTCCTGGAGCTCTGAGAGAAGGAATATCCAAGTCCTGCACTCAGGAAACCATTTAAGCTACCTGAATAAAGTGGTTAAACTGTAGCACAAAATTTGGTGCTGGAATGTGGCAGACGTTTCTATGCACCTCCCTCTGCTTTTTTTGGTAACATTTCAAACACTATCTGAAGAGATGAGTCTTGGGAGATCAATCATAAGGCGTAGTGAAGGCTTCCTCTACAAACTGCCCTTTTGAGGCAGAAACCTCTGGGAAATGAAGGTGGCGGTAACAGATGAGTTTCCTTTAGAAAGCACTGTCTATTCCTATACGAATATGCAGTGCAGTTGCCTTCTGTTGACAGACTTTGCACATGCATACAGTTTGGGCTTGCTTTGTAGAGGAACCCAGAACAGGAATTGTGGATCATTAGAAATTATTTTATGGAGCACAATGCATATCCCCAGCTTGAACTGCACATATTTTACAAAACGGTCCAGCTGCAGTTGGAAGAGGGGTGGAGCAGAAGCTGATCTGAAACTTCCACACAAAATACACGTGCCCAGAACTGACAAACTTACTTGGAAGGTTACAATTCTTTGGTCACCTCTTCAGTCTCCCCCTTCCCACCATGCTACTTTTATTTTTGTATGCTCTCATTCTGTCTGGGATCAGGAGTTTTGACAGACTGGGAGAAAAAGCCAAATAACAACAAACACACCAGTTTCTCTCACCAAAAAATCCACCATATCATGGTACTTTTGGGCCAGTGTTTTAGACTTAATAAAATGTAAGTAGGAACCTGATGCTCCTTTGACATCAGTGAAATGTCACTATTGGTTCTTGTTTTCTCAGGCAGTTGTAACAATTCTGGAAGGGACACATGCAGTCACACCCAGATCTTGCCTTCCTTCTCCATTACTTTTTCCTCACCTTGGAAAAGCACTGCAAGCACAGCACAGGTGTGGCCGAACATAGCTTACGCAAGCTTTTCTATCTGCAGCCGTATATACAGAAGATACAGATCAGGATTTATGGCAATTGGGTTGGTTCTGCACTGACAGTTGTGATAGGAATGTTACCAGGGATTGTAATGAATCAAGTGCAAGATGTTACTCCTAATAGATGAAGAAGAAACAGATCTGTGGAGCTACCAAAAAAACACTCACCACCCAAAAAACCCAGCCAATTTCAACAGAGGAATTTTTCAAGAGTGGCACTGTAAGGGATAGAATCCACTTTCTGCAGCTATCCCTGTGTCACGTCAGCCATCTCACATTTTTCCAGGAGAACTCAAGACCTGGCTGGTATCACCTTTTATCTCGAAGCCCTAAATGCCTCCTTGGCCCTGCTCAGATTTAGTAAATTAAAAGTATTACTCTGTGACACTGCTTGCCAGTGTTCAACGCTGCCTTTCCTGAACAGAGTTCTGGATGCAATGAACAGCATTTTCAAAATCCTAAGCATGGACAATCACAGGTGGCATCCTAACACTCAATGCATGTACAAAGACTGTCAGGGCAATGTAGGGAGTTGCACAAAGTCTCTTTCCCAATGCATAATTTTCTTTCCTTGATTTCTCACATAGTCTTGATTTCTCATATAGTTCTGAATATTGAATCTCATTTAACTAGAGCTTGCTTGTCTGGCTTGTGGCTAAATATCTGCTACTGGCTGAAAGTGCAGCCACTTCCAGACTGTGGTCACAAAGATTAAGACTGTTTGCTGAGACACATCTTGGCCATAGGGCATCAGTAAAGGGTCAGAATCTTACAGCTGTTGATCTGGGAAAGAAGTTACTTTGAGTGCTCTGAAGATGAGAATGCTTATCAGTTATCTGGTTAGCTCACTTCACTTTTTATTCTACCTTCAGGCTCACAGTACTCAGCTTGTGAAACCCAGAAGTGTAGATTTAAAGGTTTTTGTGATTAATCCTCAAGTCTCATATTCTGGCTGCCATTACTGTAGTAATTGTGATGAATTTTCTATGCATGGAGCAAAATACCAAAATAGAGCAATTGCTTTTTGGCATTAAGAGAACACAAACCCACTGAAGGATTGCTTCTTCTATACAAATGTATCAGTAGTCAGTAGAAAGAAAACTTTCTCAAACAAGTGAACACCAGAATCAGGAGTATGTCAAATAATGTGCATCGGTGAAACTACGGGGCCTGATCATAAATCCACGCAGTTTCTCACTATCTTCAGTAGAACAGGATGAGTGCCATATAAGATGGGGTTAAACCACTTGATTCATTACACCTTCAAGCCTCCCTAGTCAATGTCTCCAGGTAGATTCTGCCCAGAAGCAGTCTGGCATACCTAAGCCAGGCTGAGCTCTGAACCCTTCTTTTTCTTCTTTTGCAACAGGCTGCCCAGGGAGGTTGTGGAGGCTCCTTCTCTGGAGACATTCAAAACCCACCTGGATGAGTTCCTGTGTGATGTGCTCTAGGTGACCCTGCTCTGGCAGGGGGGTTGG